AATTGCACAGACTTTTTAAAAAAAAGAACTCTAGGAAGATCAATCTATTTAGCTAATAAATGGCGTCCATTCATCTTTAGTAAGGGTTTTCCATGAAATGAATAATTGCAGAACTCTAGAAGATCAATCTATTTAGCTAATAAACGGTGTCCATTCATCTTTAAAACCCAACACTGAATGTACGAGTTTATTGGGGCTGTTTTTGTCAACGGCTTCGCCCGTCCCTTTTGATGTGTTTCATTCTTTATTCGTGATCGTGAGCATCAACACACACACACAAAAACACACAAGGACTTTGCCAGCCTTGTCAGGACAGATCGTTTTGTTCTTCCAGAAGAGCCGGGTGTGGCGCAAACAGACCTCCTCGTCCTCCCCCCTCTCTTGGCCCAGTTGGGCAAATCCTCACCGCGTTGACAATGGCTGAGCTCAAGCCATCATCCTCCCTCCCAGCGCCTGCGTTCCAAGGCTCTTCAATCTGTTTACGATGAAAACAAATAAGCACAAGGATCCAGGCTGGGGAGCCTTGCCTAGCCCAGAGGTGGGTGAAGCTACGCGGTCAAACTACAAACCCCATCATCCACAGAAAGGCCTGCCAGTCACTTAAAACAGCACTGCTGGCATCCTCTTATCTTTGCAAGCAACTCCCCCATCTTCTTCTTATTTTTGCACCTCCTCTAGCTATTTCTCCATTCTGCTCTCGTCTGCCTCCGAAATCAAGGTCAGGAGAGTATAAATATTTCAAAGGAGACTCGGCATTTTGCTGATGAAATCGCAGGCAGGCCATCTTCGCCGGGGAGGCTGCCAAATGAGACCGGACGGGTGCACTGTGATTTTTTCACGAGCTAATTGCCTCTGGATAGCAGCCCCGGAGTTTTGAAGACTTGAACTCTCATGCCTGGGAGGTAATGAATTTGGCAGCCAACCTGCAGACTTCGGAGAGACACTGTAGCCTTCATCAGCCGCTGGCTGCTAATGCTGCAGTCCTTTCCAATACATTTACAGCTGCTGGAACGGTACAACTGTCTGTTTGTTTGTTTATTCAAAATATCTCTAAGTGGCTTTTTAAAATCAGTTTATGATACACTCAATTTAATAGGCACTATAAATATGCAGGCATAATCTCGGTCAAAGAAATGGGCTAGCTTTACTCTGCAGAGTCCTACCTCTGGACCTGTCTCTCCTCTCGCAGCCCACTCCCTGCACTAAGACCCCCCCAAAATAAACTTTTGGGGGCAGCCGATGAAGAATTCAGTGTGACTCAAAAACCTGCGCATTGGAGTGCCAAGTGTTTTCACGCATCAAGACCCAGGCCCTCGGGGTGCGAGAACCGATTCTCCTGTTAAACCTCAGCATGCCTTATAAAGAAAAATAAACATCTCCACGCCCTTAAAAAGTTCTCTCTTAAAAATCCAGCTGTGCCGAAGCAAACCGCTGATCTTTTTGCTTCGAGGTAGAAGCAGAACAGCTGGCGTGGAAATGGATAGTTCCAAAAGCGTGCACTTTCTGTGTGAGAAGGAGAAGCAGAATCCGTCCCAGGGAAATCCTCCTGGTGGCTTTATTTTCCCTAAGGTGTTGGAAGAATGCTGTTAAGCCAGAGTTGGCTCAATTATTTTTTTTTCTCCGTTTCCCCCTCTGGACTCTTCCTGCATTCTCTCTCTCCTGCATGTTGTTAACTCTTCTCCTTCTTCCACGCTAGATACTTTGCACATGCTCTGGGTCCAGAATCCCCCTCATTGCCTTGACACGCTTTGTGGGCCACGCTGCGGCCGGGAACCACATGTCCCAGCCTTCCTCACCCGCTGGGGTTGATGGAGGTTGTAGTCCGACAAGAGAGCAACCCAACTTCTGATCCTGATCCTGCGTTACTGAGGCCTGCAGCCAAGCCCTGCTTTCCATGCCCCTCCCGGCTTCTCTGATAGACTACTTCTGGCCATGGAGGTTCTGCTGAGCCATCAAAGAACCAAAGTTTGGCTGAAGAGACCCTTAAGTTTCTTGCTTATTTAACCTGATTTATCCCCCTTCCAACACCAGGAGCACCGCCCTTAAACATCTGGGCGGCTTGGCCGGGGTTAGCCGTGACCTCAGGTTTTCTGAAACGTGGATCCCTCCGCTTGAATCTCTGGGCTTCGAATGCGTCCACGGATTTTATAGATCTGTCGCAATGGTTTGAGTTTCAGCATTTCCTCTTCTTTGGCTTAGCCTCTCAAGAACTCTCTAGCCCCCAGCAAAATTTGGGAAATGATCTACCACTCACTGATGGTGTTGGTTCGTTGAACACCCCCTGTCATCTCTCCCAGCGCCAGATCCAACCCAATGCCTCTCTGCCTACTCGAGAATTTGGGTCCAGATGCTCAAACAGCAGGTTCACCAACCAGAACCTTGTGGGCAACGGTGTGTAAACTGTCCAGACTTTGCGCGGCCTGTGGACCTGATCCGCTTCCTTCAAGAAGGAATCTGAGCCACATTGGGGGCCACGAAGAAGTTAAGCTCCCCAAACTTTGATCGGGGGGGGGTCACACAACCTCTTTCCAAGTCTGGCTCCCAGACTCCTTACCCCAATTTTTTTAAAAATCAGTAAAAATAATTTAACCTACAGTGATGATTAAATGATCCTTTAGATTTCTGTCTGTCTGTCTCTAGATCTATTTGCGTACGGTTGATTTTAGGCTGATCTGTGTTGACTTGATTCGTGATAACAAAGAAGCCCCACAAATGGAGGGTCAGATTTTGGGGACCACCATGATGTGCCATGCCTAGGGAAGTCGGGGGGTCCCTGGAAACGAACCGGCACTGACCACTGTTGGGGAAAAGCACATGGGAGGCAAATGGACATACCGGTAGATGATGATCCCATCAGCCATTCTTCCATGCTTACAATGATGCTCGGTGGGTGGAGCGACAGGAACATCTCTGGACACCCTTCAAACAAACTGTGCTGAGTTTGGGGCTGTTTTTGCTGCCAGGCCCCCCTGCGCCAGATGGCCCGTCTGTTTTCTGTGCAATGGGACAGGGAGAGTCATTGTCTCCCAGCCTGGTCTGGCTGGACCCTCGGGACCTTTGGCTGGGGTAAAATGCCAGCCGTGGGACACACTGCCCAAGTTCGGAAAAGGTCTTCCTCCTTGGCTGCCGACCAGTTCTTTCCACCCCATGCAAGACTTCAGGGACGCTATTTGGCTGGTGCATTAATTGTGGAAGACCAAGGAAAGAGACCAAGTTGATAAAGAGACATGGCTATAATTAGTGACTTCATTAGACACCAAACCCCACCGGAAAGGGGGAGCGGTGAAGGGTTATTGAGTATTTTCAAAGGGTTTTCTGTTCTCTCTTACCAGTTGGGTGGTATGAGGTCTCTCAGTGTTGCTTATTCCAGCTGACACACAGAAAAAGAAAATTTCAACATTGTTGCATGGAAAGTCAAAAGAGTCTCAATCCGCAGGCTTTAAGACAATCATAATGTTCCATGGGAAGCAATACCTTAGGCACCCAAAAGCTTTTTTTGGGGGGGGGACCCCTTCCATTCCAGATTTCCCTGCCCCTCTGAAATCATAGGCGGAGGCGATAACGAAGGCCCAATCTTCATTAGTCACAGCCCCTTCCTCATGGAATCCTTTTCCTAAGTGAAAAGGATAGGAAATCAAGAGCTAAAAGGGCCCAGGCTCCCTCTCTCCAAATCTGGCCATGGAGGCGGGCGGGGGATCATGGGCATTGTAGTCTAGGAAATCAACACAGCCCTAGCCAATGAAAACTCAGCTGACTGGGATTTGTTTGATGGTGTGGTCCTCTTTTCTAGAATCTATCCCTTGCTTCAAAATACGTTCTTTAAATGTCTTTAGGTTTTTAGTCTTTTGCACACACACACAAAAAAAGACACAAAATGATCTATGCCCTTGTGGTCACAACACTTTGGGGATTTTCATGGAACGTAAAAATGCCCACGAACGATGAGGTTGGGTCGCTGTTGAGCGTTTCGGATCTGCTTTTCCTCTTTTTTTTTAAAAAAAAAAACCACAGTATTGGGCCAGTTCCTAAAAGTTACTTCATAGAAAAAAAATTTTTGTCTTAGAACAGCCGCTTGGGGAGGGTGGATTTCGGAGAACACATCTGGTCAGGGGAGGTCAGTGGAATAAAACTGAATTTTCCGAAGCCTAGTTTAACCGGGGACAAAAGGGGCTTGGTTGGGGGGGGGATGGTGAATTTTATGGGGACCCTCATTGGCAGCGGTTGTAGAAGAAGCCTGGAGCCCTGGAAGGTTGAAGCCAAATCCGGTGGATGATGCCTCTCGGGGGCCACAAGAGGCTCGGTTGGTGTGATCTCTCTGGGTTTCTGTTCCAGGACTGAGACCCCCCCTCCTTTCCCGATCTGGGGGGGGGGCAGCCTTCCAATTTGGCTTAGGCTAAAAGCGGCTTTGCGGAAGCCTCTCTCTTCCACACCCCGCCCAGCAGCGTCATGGAAAGATCCGACCCGCTTCGCTTTCCCTTTTTCGTCCCCCCCTCCCTGCCCGCCCCAGGGACGCTTCCTCTTTTCAAGGAGGAGGATGATGACATTCCCTGGCGGCGCTCGACGCCCACCCGCTTCCGAAGAAGGTCCTTGTCTTGCCAGCGCCCACCCGGGGCATCCTTTACAGGGTCCGTCCCTCGCACCTGGCTGGGTCCGCCTCTTGCCCGCCCGCCTGCCCGGCCACCTCCCCTCCTTGGCGGGGGTCTTGCGCCTTCAGCCTTGGATGGGGTAGACTTCTCCCGCGCGGGGAGGCTCGGCGCGCCCTGCAGGCTCCTCCCCCCGCAGTTTCCGAGGAGGAAGGCGGCAGGATTCCTCTCCGGAGCTGATTTGCCTGGAGGAGGAGGAGGAGGAGGAGGCGGCGTTGCTCACCTGCACCAGCGGCGGATCAGCCCCTTTGCGACGAGTCACCTCGGGGCCAGGAAGGGAGGCGGAATCCCTTCGGATCTGTCCCGGCTGCGGTGCGGCAAAGCCCGGCGGCGATCCTCCCGGCGGGGGCGGCCAGGATGGGGAGCGGCTCCGCCAAGAAGGTGGCCGCGGTGCTGGGCGCGCTCTGCCTGGCCGCCGTGGCCGGCCTCCTCCTCCTCTGCCTGCCCACCCTCCGCGACCCCCCCTCCTTCAAGGTAAGCCGGCCCGCCACCCGTCCTGCGCCCCGCGCCGGTTGAGACCCCCCTCCCTCTAAGGCTCGGGACCGGGGGGGGGTCTGCGTGGGTCTTTGGCGTGTCCGTGGGGAAAATCTTTGGGTCCCCTAAGATTTCCCGCAGAATCTCCGGCTTTGGACTACAAGTCCCAAAATCCCCTGACTAGCCGGGGATTCTGGGAGTTGTGATCCAAGGAATAGTTTGAGGCGTGCTGGTTAGAGGGGGGAAGGACGGAATTAGGCACGGGAAAACTCCCCCCCTTTTTTAAACGCTCCTTCCTTCGTCTTGGCCCCCCATCCACCCAGGAAAGGCAACGGGAGGGTTAGGGTTGACCGGAAAGTGGGAAGTCCAGAAGCTAGTCCTCATTAAGGCAGCAAAACCTCCAGGGTGATCAGCGTCCCTCTCAGCCTCGGGGAAAAAAAATCTCCGCCAGCATGAGCTACCTCGCAGGACGGTCGTCATTCTGCAGCTCGAAGGGAATGGAGGAGAGGCAGGCACCGTGGGCTCGTCGGGGAAGAAGCTGGAGGAGGGAATGAAGAACCGTCAGGGGCACCCCTAAGCATGTGCAGAGGGCCTTAGGTTGCAGGCTGGGCGGCTGGAGGGTTGGAGGCAGTAGGGCAGAGAAAACTGGGTCTGAGTGGACATCACAATTCATCCTCTTCCCCTTCATTTGTCAGTTTGGCCCTGAAATACTTTGCTTCCAGGAAGGTATAAAAAGCAGCATCTGGGCATGGACAGAGGGCTTTTTACGTCCAATTTGGATTGCCTCCAGGATTCTCTGCCCGTCTGGGGCTTCTCCGCAGAAAACTGCCCAAATACACCTGGGGCTTTTTTTTTACCCTCAAAGACCAGAAAGCTAGAGAAAGCATTCCCCCCCCCCCATGATGATAATTTATTGGAGGTTTGGCCCTGAAGTAGTTTGCTTCCAGGAAGGTATAAAAAAGCAGCATCTGGGCATGGACAGAGGGCTTTTTACGTCCAATCTGGATTGCCTCCAGGATTCTGTAAAATATTGTAAATATTGTAAATAAATAAATTCTCTGCCCGTCTGGGGCTTCTCCGCAGAAAACTGCCCAAATACACCTGGGCTTTTTTTTTAACCCTCAAAGACCAGAAAGCTAGAGAAAGCATTCCCCCCCCCCATGATGATAATTTATTGGAGGTAGACTGCCCTTCAGTAGGGAGGCTCCACTTGGTCTGAGCCAGGGAGCATGACATGAAGGAAAAACAAAGGAGGATATGGATCCCCCGCAGAGTTTAAAAATAAGTTCCTCCCCAGCAAGGACATTAGGAGAGGAAGAGAGGGGTGATTTCCTCAAATCCGAGAATAGAAAGGCTTTTGACTCCTGGGTCAAGGGGCTAGCCCTCATTCCTTTCCTCTCCTTCTCTGCCCTGGCAACCTGATTTTATGAGCCTCTGTTGTGGTGGGGCCCCTTTAAGGAATAACAGCCTTTAAACCATTCCAAAAGTGGTTCTTTTAGAAACACCCAATTAGAAAGCATTAGTTAAATTGAAAAACAACAAGCCACCAAAGCATTTTAAGTGCCAGAGGGCACTTGAATTTTCCCTGGAGTTTCGTCCTTGCATGAAGGGCAGAGGAGTTACAGAAACGGCCCTTCCAGACCCACGCCGTGGCTGGAAGACATGGTTTCCATGCTCCTGCTTGCAAACCTCTGTTGTGGGGCAGCCTTTCCCAGCCTGGACTAAAACTCCCATCCTCCCCAGCAAACCCAGATGGAGCCAAAAGGCCAGAAGTGATTGGGAGCGCCCCATTGTGATGCTCTTATCTTCACCCCATTGTGATGCTCTTATCTTCTGATTCATGCCTATGGGGCTTCAGAGATAGCTCTCGCCCCTGATCTAATTTACGGGTAATCTTGTCTTCATTGTGGTGAAATACTTAAGTTTCTGATGAACGGGAGAGATTGTTCTCCTGATCCTTTACTGGTCTCCCACAACCCTTCTGTTTCCTTGGGGCTTAATCTGAAATCCAACCCCAGTCCCCGGATCCTGTTTCCGGCGCTGAGACTCCTCAGCACAGCTGTTGGGATGGACCCATTTCCCATAAAAATGCGTTCTGTATCACTTTGAAACCTCCCAATACAAGCTGTCCAAAAATACTAATTATACTATTTCTGAATCCTGAAGATTCTTGTTCTTGAATGCGAGAATATGGGTTTCGTTCTGGTTTTTTTTTTGTGAAACTCTTCTCCCTTTGCTTCATTAGTGCATCATTTCTCACTGAACGCAGACTCTTAAAAAGTTGGGAGGGCACCTTAAAGGTTATCTAGTCAACCCCCATTGACTGCCACTGTTTGGGACATCATGAAACAAATAAACAAACAATGACGAAAGAAGCAAGGTCTGTTCCTCCACTTCCTTTTCTTGAGTGCCTTTCAGGTTTCGATTCAGTCTCCCCTGCCATTTTGGAAGGTCTGAGGGTGGATGATCATGGTAATATTCGTAGTTCACCCGACGCTTAACGAAGCAAAACATTAACTTTCTTTAATGGCGAAGAGAAAACACGATTAACTTGTCCAGAAACAGTTCTGTAGGGCTTAGTCCAGCCCACCCCGTGTTATTTTCACAACACCTTCATAAGGTATGTCAGGTGAGGAGCTCACGGACCCAAATCACACAGCTTTCTTGGCCAAGTGGTGGGATTTGAACCCAGGTCTTCCGACTCCTCGTTCAGCGCTCAAACCGCTACAGCGCCATGGCTCCCATCTGTTCCATGTTCACAAAAGGTGTGGGGCTGGAACAGTACCTGGCACGCTCGGAGGAGACAAGGCATCGTCCGGCCCGATAGGGAATGCCCTCTGAGTCATCACCGTGGTCGGATCTGCTTCCAAACCCACGACTTCTCGTTCCCTGCCATAAATGTTTAGGTGGATGCAGGTTAAACATTAAGAACGCCGGCTGCAGGGCGGCCCCGGAAGGAGTCTGCGGAGGGACGTTGTGAAAGATCCTTCCTTACTGGTGGTTATTTTCTTCCTTCCTTTTTAACATCTGTCCACGACAGATAACACAACCTGGAATTTAAGAAAACATCCTTTCCTCTGCTGGAGACCAGCAGGGGAAAGAGAGAGCAAAATGGCCAGCGCTTTCTTAATGTCTTGTCATTTTAGGTTGTTTCTGCTGACTAAAAACATGGCTGTCGAGGCGGGCCAAATTCAGCCTGCGGGAGGGCCAGATTCGCCCATAAGGCCGCAGGTTGCCGACCTCTGCCGTGCAAAACTTTCTAATGACTTGGGGGTTTCAACAGAGGCTGTTTTGGGGCCATCTTGTAACTGCCTGTTTCCCATCTGGATGTTCTTCCGAATCTTAAGAGCCCTCTGCTTTCTCTTATTCCCTTTCCTTGAATTACGATTCCTGTCACTGGGGAGTTACATAAATGTCAGCCGTTCTTCTTTTCTTGACTCTCGGTTGGAACGCTCCCCGGCTGTCCTGGGAAGCCTCCAGGTCTAACATCATGTCCATCTCCCATCTCTGCCTGCTTCAAGACAAGAAAACAACGCCGGCGCTGGAATCCTCTCGTTTTAAAAAAACCGTTTACCCCACATTTTTCATATTTACTCTAGAAGAGGGGTAGAAAGACTCAGTGATGGGAAAAGTTACTGTCTTAAAAACTACAGCTCCCCCTCCAAAATACCCCCAGTCATTATGTTTTCTGGCTCAGTGCCCAAAATCTGATGAGAGTATTAATAGCCCATAATATGCAAGCAATTTTTTTTTAAATTAGGATAAATTAAATCTGCACAAAAGAGCCTGCTGGATAGCCCATAATATGCAAGCAATTTTTTTTAAAAAAATAGGGTAAATTAAATCTGCACAAAAGAGCCTGCTGGCTTTTGGGGGAACTCTGGACCTCATCATTAGGCTCAAGGACTCTCTTACCATATTTGATCCCACCACATCCCTGCACATGGCTGGCCCCAGGCTATGCTGTCCGTTTCCTGATCTACCAGGTTTCTGCCTGACACTGGCCTGCCCCCCTCCACTCCTGCCCCAAATGCTGCCTCTCTTCCTTGCCTCCTGTTCCATCTTCAACACTGCACTGAATTTTAGACTGGAAGCTGCTTGGGGCAGGGACCTAGCCTCTGGCACTTTCTTTTAATGAGCCATACAAAGGGCTGGAGTTATGGGGTAGAAGTAATAGCAGCCATCATATCATGATGGATGAGAGTTGGGGTTAAATCAGGGCAGAGTCTGCCGGCATAATTCTGGGAAACCTGCTATTGTTCACAAACTCTGCTTGGATCCTGGCAGAACGGAAACCGGGAGGGAGGAGAAAGAGAGAGAAAGAGAGAGAGAGAGAGAGAGAGAGAGCTGCCTCCTTCAAAACAGGGCCCACAATTAGTTTGAAGGACAAACCCAGAACTCTGGAGACCCGAATTCGAGTCCTCTCTTGGCCATGACACTTCAAGAAGCTCCACCCACCAAGGAGTTTATTCCCTGTGTCTCTGCACGCAGTGTGTTCTGGCCGCGCCAAATCTATGTACTCCTTTTGTCCAGCGTGTGAAACCCGGCTTTTGTCCTGTGCATCTACTGGCTTCCAGCAGGTCGCAGCGACGGAATCCTCAGCAACATTCCACCTGGTGCAGTTGGATGCCTCAGCAGTTGACACAGAGAGGAGTGAAAATTGAATTTGGGAAGTGGTGGAGGATTCAGAACAATCTAGCCGAGATATCTATTTATCGCTTCCCTTGTTCTCCCGTTGCTAGGAAGCAGGAAACAGAGGGTGCCCTTGTGCGCAGGGCTGGTTTCGTGGGGGGCCTCCTTGGCAACGGGTCGAGCCCTGTGGATGCTGGAGCAGCGAGAGAATCCTGGCGCCTGCTCGGTTCAGGAATGGTTCAAGTCGGAGTAAATTCCCAGAAAGAGCTTGAGCGCCCCTCCCTCCTTTCCTTAGGAACAGATCCTGGGCTGATAAACGCTGAGATGGGTGTTCTCTCCCCAAGGCTGTCCCCAATCAATCTGTTGCC